CAGGGTTGACATGCAACAGTGCATTTCCCAAGCAAGAGACAGAGAGAGAGAGAGAGAGAGAGCACGCGGACACTGGCATAGCGCTTGTGCGCAGGGGTTCAGGGGACACCCCCTGGCTCCAAACGTCACGCAAGCAAGCAAGCAAGAGAGAGAGCGAGGGAGGGGGCGGGAGGGATATGGCAGTTGTAACACGGGGCCTCATCATGTAGCTGAAGAACTTCAGGAGTGCTTACCTTCCTTTGGCTGTGTCGGAAAAGAGGGACGGGCACCTGAACATGCCTGATAGATAGTGTTAGCATCCCTTCCATGGAGAACCTTGAACAGAAAGTTCTGCAGCACACACCCAAAGTCCTTCACATTTCTTTGGGGCCCTGAGCCCTTGCTTTTGGTTGTCCAACCTCTCACGGGCCTTGCTTCGCAGATCAGCATCTCGGGGACCGTCGAGAGCGAGCTGGATCCGACTGTGGAGCTCGAGTTCTCGTGGCGGGCGGGACCCTGAAGCCTGGGCTTCTGGGGTTTGGGGAGGGGCCGTGGGTTTCAGATCAGATCACAGACCCCCTGGAGCCTGTGACACTGTAATGGTTTGTGTCGTCAATGCCAAAGCTTGTAGGCTTTAGAGCAACAGCCCTAAATCTCTGAGATACTTGTCTTCTCGTCGAACCCGCTCTACGACGGGGACCTTGCGCGGGAAGCGGAGTCGGATAATGACCCGACCACGGTGTACCTCGTCGACAAGCGCGGGACCCGGCTTCTTGGATCTGGGCTCTGGGCCCTGGAAGTTCAAGACGGTGCTGTAGGTGTGGGGCTCGGATTCCAGAGCGGAGCGAAGCAGAGCGAAGCTGGGCTTGGCCCCTCAAAGCACGTAGCTGCGTTTGGCAGAGGCTTGAATTCTTTGCCGCCAAAGCTGTGCCGGACTTAGGATGGTGTACATAGACCAAACAGACGTGTACGACGTCACGAATGCGTCGCGCTTCTTTACCAGGCGCCTCCCTGAGAGGTTGGGGCTTAGAGGACTGCAAGGCGGTGTTTTGACGACCGGGGCGGTCTGAGTCTGGACCTGTCTCGCTGTTGAGTTGCACCACGGATTTAGGAATGGGGTTGCTCCACGACGGGGAGCATTCGAGTATCCATCTCAAAGTCTAAACAAATCCTAAAATGAGTGTACCTTCGAAAACTCCAGCATCACGCGTTGGACCAAGAACAAGGTGTGCATCGCGCATGTTTGTACTGCACCAGGCCGGATTCTCCGAATATGATCATCAAGGCGAGTGTGGGCCTTTGGCATGCAGAAAACAAGCCCGAAGCCTTCATTGGAAGTGTCGATGCAACCCGAGCCTTTGTGGATGTTTACAGTTGTCCGATACGTGCAATTGAGAGCATTGATTGCAGCCTTTTCAACACTTCAGTCTCAAGCCTTTCATCTGAACCTACGCCGCAGTTCTGATCAGGGCAATGTGCTACAAGAGGACACCATTTACAAGCCCGCGACCTCAGTTTTGCGAGGGTGGGTTTAAAGATCAGCACCTGATCTGACTCCTTGCTGCTGGCCGAAACAGTTTCATCGCATGGGTTAGGAAAGCAGACAGTTTCTGGAGATCGGCGAACTCAGGGTGCGGCTCGTGATGACAGTTGGCGGCGGCCTGGTGGAAGGTTTCTCCGATGCACGGCCGCCCAGAACGGAGATGCTCATTGTCCGGCAAAGGGCTCATGGAGGCTCATGAGCAGCATCCCGTGCAGCATGCATCGACACCCCGACGAATCCTTCCCCTGCCATTGAGTGCTCCATCTCGATGCGGAGGCATCTCGTGGAAATGAAGGGATCTGTCGCATTTTCAGCCCTGGAGAACAGTCCTGCACCCGAAGATCCCCCGAAGCCCTGAGAGACGTGTCACGAGCGAACACCAGAAGGTCTCCTTGCAGACAGCGGGGCTGCCACCCAGATCTGGTACCCTTATCTCGGCACCGCTCAACGCCACCATGGACACGAAGAGGCCCATCTGCACCGTCCATTCCGGGCCCCCTCCCTCTTTGAGCAAAGCCCCAGCTGCAGGGTGATATCGGCCCCGGACTGGGTGGCCAACGACCTGCCCCTGAACTACCAATTTGGCCCGCCGCTGAGTGCTTCTTTGGGCGTTGGCGCCCTTCAAGCTTTGTGCTGCCTTCTTGGTTAGATCGTGTGCGATGATGGGGCCTGCTGCTGGGACTTATTGCACCGTGTAGGTGCTTTGAAGTGTGGTTGCGGTGTTAAGGTTGCGGGTCTGCACGGGCCGAACTGAGAATCACGCCTTAAAAAGAGATTCATCAACACAGAGCAGCTCTTCGCATTCTTATGAAATTCATGCCGCCTCGCTTACACAAGCCGTCGCGAGATCCCAAGCTAGGCTACATCCACTACCTGGGTGTGGGTGCACGCCTCGGTTCGTTTGAGTGGCTTGAGCTTGAACTGCTGGAACGCCAAACTGCTGCCAAACTCAGCTGAGCCTCCCTCCGTTCCATTAGAGGTGCCGTAAGAGAGAAAAGGCAGATCGGTTCAGGTGCTGTACTTCCTGACGAGATTTCGCTAAAACGGGCTCGCATAAGAAGGGCCCCACTGGAAAGGAGAATGAAGTCTTGCAAGCGGAGGATGAGTTTCGGCCGGCCAGACACATCGGTGTAATTCGGTGGCTCGAGTTCAAGAGTGAGAGAAGGAGTTCGAAGGTTAGTTCACAAGCCTCAGGACTCCAACATCCTTCTCATAGCAAGTCCTCGTGATACGAGTGGAAGATGGTCCTGAGGATACCTTCTCTTGCTCACCGGTTCCTTCTTGCAACAGTGAGCGGCTGATGCTCATGCTGCTGGCCGGTTTACCTTTGCTTCTTGCAGCTGCAAGCGGCTCACGCTCGTGATGCTGCTCGGTTTTGGCTTGCTTCCAGCACCAGCGAGCGGCTGATGCTCATGATGCTGGCCGCTTTACCTTTGCTTCTTGCAGCAGCGAGCGGCTGATGCTCATGACGCTGGCCGCGTTACCTTTGTTTCTTGCAACGGCAAGCGGCTGAAGCTCATATGCTGGCCGGTGTTGGCTTCTTGCAACAGCGAGCGGCTGTTGCTCATGCTGTTGGCCGGTTTACCTCTGCTTCTTGCAACGGCAAGCGGCTCACGCTCATGATGCTGGGCGGTTTTCGTTGGCTTCTTGCACCAGCGAGCGGCTGATGCTCATGATGCTGGGCGGTTCCGTTTTTCTCCTTGCAACAGCGAGCGGCTGATGCTCAT